AAATTTACATTTTACAATTTTCTACATGCATGCACAATGTCTCAGCTCTGTAACCCAAAAAAAAAAAAAAAGAAAAAAGAAAGAAAGAAAAGAAAAAAAAAAAAAAGGAAAAAACTAGATCCAACAGTGGAAAATTCTACATTTACAATCTCACTTGAAAGAGACTCCAGAAGCCCCTTCCTTTTGCACAGAGAACAAAATCACAACAGTCACACACCAGGACTTAGTCCAACAGCAGATACTGCCCCAAGGGGAGGGCAGAGGAGAGAAGACAGACCGACAGACACACCACAAAGAAGAAAGGGAGCTCATCTGGGCCCAGCAGAGAAGAGAAACACAAACCCTGGGAACATGTCTCGGATGAGAAGCTTCCGGGGATCCAACGTCTCACCACGGGTGCTTCACCAGGGTTTGCCATGGGAATGCTGAGTGGGCTGGGGAAGCCGACAGTTAAGGGCTGAAATGCAGGGGGATGGCAAGGAGAAAGTGAGAGACTCTAGGGACATAGACAAGAATAAATGAGAGACAAAAATACCACTTCAGGAGAAGGGAACCAATGGGGACAGTGGCAGAGTGGCGAGGTAGGTGAAGGACCGAGGCACAGTGTCCTGGTGTGCTGGGGAGGGGAGAAAGCGTTCCAAGGCCATGAAAAGGAAGGCCAAGTAGGTGTACTGGGGAGCAGCCAGGATGCCCGTCGTCATAGCAACAACAGCACTGGAGATGCCCAGCACAGTATCCCAGCATCCCCTGTGGGGATGGAGCAGAGCTGCCCCACGTGGGCACACCCCCTCCCAGGAAGAATGGAAAACCCAGAGAGCCATGGGACCCACACCCCCTCCCAGGAAGAATGGAAAACCCAGAGAGCGTGGGACCGTGGGACCGTGGGACCGGCCTGGTGGGGGGAAACTGCGCCTAGGGACCAGCTGCCCATCCCCCAGCAGTTCACAGCATGAAGACAATTCCCATACGGGAGAAGAAGGACACACGCACAGCCAGACACTTGACAATTCATCCTGACATTAAAAAAAAATATTAATAATAATAACCAAAAAAAGACAAAGATACCACAGTTCTGACGCAAAGGACCAAAACACTACCATTCTCAGTCACAGCCCTTAGTGCTTAGAGAAAGAGTTGGGGGGTGGGGGTGGGGGAGGAATGGTTTCTCTCTTTTGTTTTTTAGGAAAAAGGAATGAAAAAATCACAGTGATTAAAAACATGGCAGGTTCTTAAAATAAACACTCCCCCTGTCCCTAACTTAGGGCAGCAACCATGATCACAGATAATTTCCTTCCATCCACCCTAGCCACGCACCCAAACCACAGGACATACACCCTGCTGTTGCCCACAAAGGCCATGACCCCAGTCACCATCCGGGTCTTGTTCTCCAGGACAGTGAGGTATTTTTGTGACCCAGAGGGACTCCTCTGAAACCAGATTTTATTTTAATATAAGATACCTCTCCCAGGACCCCCCCAGGACAGCATATATTTCACATGGGCCTATCCGAGGTCCCCAGCCCCAGCTCAGTGCTAATCTAGAGGCCCCCAGCTGGGGACCAGGGACAAGAAAAGCATTGACTGACAAACCAGCTACATGGTAGGTAGAGAGATGTGCCTTTTCAGAAAGGACAGGAGAAATTCCAATCACTGGGTTATCACGACAGAGACAAAGCCTCCCAGGCGAGAGCTCAACGGGCATCTTATCCCAGAATGTGCTTTACAAGGAAAGTACCGGCAAATTTCCCAGGGAAGAGAGGGGCCTATCCAGGAGAATTGTGCGTTATTTAAAGAATGGGCCCAGGGGCATGACTCGGCCATAAGAACAGTTCTCGATGTGGATCCTAGAAGGATATCTAAATGGGCRCTTCCTACTTCTATCCCCCTTGGCACATCATTGATGGTGTCTCATGTATAAGCTCAAATTTACTCTGAAAATATGCATTAGGGTGCCAGTGAATTTTGCTCACAATGAGACCTAAACTGTTGAGAGAATTCAGATTTGGTGCAAAGGTGATGGAAGCTAAAATGGGGTGAGGGGTTGTGTACCCACAAAAGGCAGTAATCCTGGTCTCTCACCCCAATACAGTGCCCAGAGAACCAGAGGAGAACAGGAGAGGGGGGGACCCTGGAAGGCCATGGAAAAGAGACCCCTGAGGCAAAGAACTGGACTTAAGGCAGGGAACAAGGAGGAGTGGCAGGCTCCTCCCCCAAAAACAGATGAGGCAACAGGTCTCGGGAGCCAAGAGAAGTCAGCAGGATTGGGGCGGCTGGTGCAGAGAAGCAAAGCATCTGTCGAGACCACGGTGTGGCTCAGGGACTGTTGGCCAGTGAGTCTGTCCTTCATTGAGAAGAGTCAGAAGAAAGGTCAGGGCAGGTAGACAGGGCAGGGGTCAGTGACAAGTGTCTCTCTGACCTCAAGGATCTATCCTGAGGCCACTGGACTTTCCCCCAGGGCCCTGGTGAAGTGGTCAGAGGCCTTCCACCGCAGTCCTGCCTGTGGTCACGTGTGATCACACCATCAGATCATACCATCAGAGCTGGCGGGTGGAGACTTCCAGGTGAAGGACGGGGTTTTCCCTTGCTCTAAATATATGTGGATGGGGAAGGGTAGCTGGGAGCAAATCACGCTACAGGGAGGCGCCTAACTCTTGGGCTCTGTGGCCGGAGCATCCCTGCCCGAGAACTCTCTGGGTTTGTACGAGTGGGGTGAAGGGGCAGGGAGGGAGATATCCACTGCCCTGGAGGAGTTTGGCACTGCGGCTCTCTGGGGTCAAAGCCATACCCCTGGAGAAAAACCTGTCATGGGCCACTGGAGAGAACGGCTAGAAGGACTTGGGCTTGAGAGTGGGGGCGTGGGAAGGGAAGGGACCATCAAGAGGGCCTGGGCCCTTTTCAGAAGGGACCAACACCTAGGGAAAAGGAGGAGATGAGGCACTGATTCCTGCAGGGCCTGGAGGGATATAAAAGTGGGGGCAGGGGGGTTCCCAGGTACTGTTAACAGCAGGATGATCTCTCCAGGTTCACGTGGGCAAAACAAGGAAGAGGGAAGGAGACAGGGCGAGGGGTGAGTTAATTCAAGTAAAAAAACAAGAGCAAGAGGGAAAAGGGCAGCGGGAACGTGGCGGGGCCTGAGAACCAAGCCCCTCTCCCACCCCGCAGAAGCGCCCGAGTCTCCCACTCCCCTGCAGTTGCATGATCACACGGAGGTCTCCGATTGCAGCCTCATGACAAACTTGTGTGACTTGGGATCCACGAATTCCTCGGAGAGTTTGAAGAAGGGCACCTTCTTGGTGCTGACCACCAGGCTGAAGTCCTGGCGTTTTAAGAGGAAAACGATGCCATCCTTAAGCCCATTGGTCACCGGCTCYTCGCTCACCAGTGTCCACTGTTTGGCCAGCCAGCGTTCCTTGTGGTACTGGATGGTGGGTCCAGCTGCCAGGTACCGCTCCAGGAAAGCCTGAGGAGGGGAGGAGAGACTGCCTAGGAATCTGTCTCACCCTCCCACTTGTCCTTCATCTCCTGGGCACAGCTTCCAAAAACACCTAGCATGTCCCCAGGCTCACGCTGCGTATGAACGAATACCTTGGAATGTCAGAGCAGAATTGATTGATGGATAAAAAAGACAGCACCCCTAGAAATGATACAGCTCCACAGAGTCAGGACTGAACTTGGGTCCCCTGAGCCCCGTCCTCTGTGCTGTGATCTGGACAAGCCCTCCCCCGTTATTCCTTCCCTCCCTCCCATATATCTTGTATAATCATCGCCGAGCAGGTCTGCAGTACAAGGGAGCTAGCAGGGGACAGGTTACATCTTTAGTCCCCTGTTCATGAAGAGCAGCTCAGGGAGAGCCAATCTAGGAAACTGGCAATTGAGTTGTGTGGTGGGCAATGGCTGAAGATGAGCACAGCTCAAACACCATCTGGGAGGGGAAAGGGGTCACGGGTAAAGGTGGGACTCTGCATCTGGAAATTCCAGAGTCCTTATAAAAATGAGAAACAGGTCTGTCTTCCCCCAATTAGTTCTGAAGTCCACCTTTGCTTCATCTACCTAAGGACTTTACTCCATGCAGACAGGGTAGAGGAGGTAGGGATGAGAAAAGAGATGATAAGGAGGAGGAGGCAGAGGAGAGAGAGAGAGAGAGAGAGAGAGAGAGAGAAAGAGAGAGAGAGAGAGAGAGGTAGAATGAGGTGAGAAATAGGGAATAAACGGAGGCTGAGTGTGGGGTCTCATGCTTGCAATCTGAGCAACATGAGAGACTGAGGCAGAAGAATCACAAGTTTAAGTCTACCCTCAGCAACTTAGCAAGACCCTGCCTCAAAATAAAAAGTAAAAAGGACTGGGGCTATCGTGGAGCTCGGTGATAGAGCACCCCTGGGTTTAATCCCTAATACTGCAAAAAAAAAAAAATAATAACAACCAAAGAAAGTGAAGGTGGACAGGAAGARGACCAGAAGCTGGGGAGAGAGGCAGGACACTAGGAGCCGCGGGCCCACCTTGGGGGTCATGTCGTGCGTGATGCAGAATTCCAGGTGCTGCAGGATACTCTCCATGGTGTGGTAAGGCTGCTGCTTGGTGGTCCGAAGGTACTTCTGCATGGCACGGGCCATGGATGCAAAGATGGCCTGGGCTGCCTCGCGGGGATCCATCACCTCCCTGGGGTTCTTCTGCTCCTCCTCCTGCAGTCGCTTGATGTGAGTGAAGGCCTCCTCCACGGCTACGACGAGCCTGGGGGACCAGAGGGTGAGACCGGATGCCCGCCTCACATCTTTGCCCTCTCCACCGGCTTCAACCACCAGGGCCTGAGCAAGGGCAGGCTTTTGTGCCCTCCCTGAAGCAGCACAAGCTCCACAAGGCTGGGGAATGGGGGGCTTTCTGCCACCAAGGGCAAGAAGCAACCAGAGCTCAGGGGCCACAGCGCAGCGAGTCAGAGGACAAATCTGGTGGCAAACTCAGAGAGACAACTAGGAATCATGTTACAGGAAAGAACAAGCATCCCGTCAAACCCTAGGAAAAGCCTTCCTAAATAGGACCACCCTCCACACACCACACTTAATCATGTCAAAAAGTAACAGATGTTACTGGGCTGGGGATACGGCTCAGTCGGGAGAGTGCTTGCCTCGCATGCACAAGGCCCTGGGTTCAATCCTCAGCACCACAAAAGAAAAAAAAAAAGTAATAGATAGTACTAATTTTTTTAAAGAAAGGGAGAGAGAATTTTTTAATATTTATTTTAGTTTAGTTTAGTTTTCGGTGGACACAACATCTTTATTTTATTTTTATGTGGTGCTGAGGATCGAACCCAGCACCCCGTGCAAGCCAGGCGAGCGCACTACCGCTGGAGCCACATCCCCAGCCTGATATTACTAATTTAAAATGACAGATTTCTATTCAGCCACAATGGCATGGGCAACATTAAGTAACCTCGGATGGGTGTGGGGCATGTATGCAGCATTTAAAAACCAACAAGGGATTGACATCTAGAATATGCAAATAATTTGCTATAAATTAAGAAGAAAAAGGCAAGAACTCTTTAGAAAAATGGGCAAAAGAGATGAACAGACAATTCACAAGAGGCCTGAGAGATTAAAATATACATAAAGAAGGCACTGGCTCAGAAAGATGAAAATTAAGTAAGATACTATTTCTCTGTTGTGGGAGGCCATCCTCGTATGTGATTTGAGTCACCTCCCTGGCTGGGTGAGAGGTGCCTAGACACAGCTGTGTCAGAGCCTTCTCCACCCTTCTCCAGGTCCGGGGCTTGTCCGTGCAGAGGCGTGTCTGGCCACTGACCTGAAGACCCAATCGTTGCCCCTGACCTTGGGATGCTGCCCCCCTTAACCTTCATTGGATGGGATTTTCCCTGGAATTTTTTGTTCCCCAATAAAAGCCCACTCCCTGACGTGCTCTCCCTCTCTCACAAGTCTCTTCTGTAAACCTCGCCACCGCATTAGGTGGCTGGAGGCGGGAGCTAGGAGAAGCCGTCCCAGAGCTGGTATTAAAGGTAATGAGAGCCTTGTCTCTTTAAATTTAAAACTCCCTAGCAATTACTTATGAATTGAACCTTCTTTCATGAAGTCAGCGCTAGTCACGTGGCAGAGTCTGTCAAAATAGAAAAGTTTGTATAGTACATTGGGAAAATTCTACGAAACACTATGCAACAAACGGGGTGTATAGCCAATAATGGATAAGTCTCAAAACTATAGTGTTAAAGGAGAAGCAGGGGGAAAGTCAATTTATACAAAAAGCATACAAAAATCAAGTTGTACAGAATATACACAGGTTTTAAGGAAATCAGACACACTAGAGAGTGCCTACCATGGAGAGACGGAGGATAGGGATTAGGGAAGAGGGAAACTAGAAGAAAGGACTAGAAAAAAAGACAATATGTTAAAAGCTAAAAAGGCTAAGTAATACAATTCTCTGAAGTCCAAAAAAAAAAAAAACAATAAACACCCATGTGGCCTAAGAGCAGGACAAGGAAAGGAAGCCTATGGCCCAGTCACCAGAACCCAGGGACCTGGAACCTTCAATGAGCCGAGGCTGGACCCTAGGCTAGGTACGAGCACACTGTGCAGACCTACAATTTCTGCTGCTTCTTTGCTTTCCCGGAGTTCTTCAGCAAGTTCTTTTTTAAAAGAACATCTCTGTCTCAGGAACGCAAAGCAAAAAGCTGTCTCTCGGTTCCAAGCAAGGTAATGGGAGAAGAAAAGGGCCCCTATGTGCCAAGAAGGGTGGTGGCAGCACATGAGATCCAAAGACCCTAGTCGGGACAGAAGGCAAAGGGGTCGAAGAAGGGCCGTTCCTCCCCCCACCCATCTTTTAATAGGTGCATTCTAGTTGTACCTAATGATGGGATCGGTAGTTCCATATTCATACATGCAAACAGTATAACAATATAATTTGGCCAAWATCACTCCCCAGCACTTGCCCCTCCCTCTCCTAGAAATGACCCTAGGAGGGCCATTTCTGAGACAACCGAAYTCATGTAGGAACGTCAGAGGAATGGAGTTGGTGATCTTTATTCTACTCCAGGGGACACCAGCTTCATTTGTAAGGACAGAGCAAGGGCTGCCTCCCCTTCTTGAAGTCTGGAGATAATGTGGGAGAAGGGATGGAGGGTAGAATGAATGGTCCCAGGCTCTCTGCTCCTCCCCCACGAAATCCCAACAGACCCAGGTGGGACCTGATGGCAGTAGGCAGAGAGAAAGTTTCTTCAGGCATGATTGAAGTTCACATTAGGGAAAAGGGACAGGTGAGGATAGCATTTAAAAATGTACCAGGCTGGGGAAGTGTCTCAGTAATAGAGTTTGCCTAGCATGTACAAGAGCTTAGATTCAATCCCCAGTACCACCAAAAAAAAAAAAAAAAAAAAGAGAGAGTTTACCAAAATATAGACACAAGAACCTTATTTTTGCAGACAAAAAAGCCCCATCTGCTAAGCCTTCAAGATCTATTGATAGAAGTGTAGCCAGCCTGCTGTTTCGGATAAGGTTCACATCTTTAGAAATCACTACCCCACTGTAGTAGGCAGAATGCAAAAATGCTCCCTGGAGTTCCACTCCCTCATTATTCAATCATCTCAGTATTTTTTTTTTCAAGAATGGAGGTTAAATCCAGAAGCACTCTACCACAGAACTACATCCCCAACTCTTTATTTTTTATTTTGATAGGGTGGTACCACGTTGCCCAGGCTGGCCTCAAACTTTGATCCTCCTGCCTTAGCCTCCTGAGTCATTGGATTACAGGCAGGCATCACCACACCCCGCTTAACCTCAGAACATTTTGCAGATGTAATTCAAGGGCCATGTTGGCTAACTTTAAAATAAGATTATCCTGTTCTGCCTGATCTAATCACGAGTTCTTCAGAAGCGGTTTTCTCCCGCCGGTGGCAAAAGAAGTCCGAGACTCCTCCCACTGGAAAAGCCAACTGTCATGCTCGAAACTGCCCGTAGGGTGGCAGGACAAGGAGGTGATTCTGCCAAAGTCAGTGAGCACTGGGTGGGGTGGTACATGCATGTMATTCCAGCTACTCGGGATGCCGAGGCAGGAGGATCACAAGTTCCAGGCCACCCTGGGAAACTTAGAGAGATCCTGTCTCAAAATAAAAATTAAAAAGGGCTTGGGATGAAGTTCAGTGGCAGAGTGTCCCTGGGTGCTGCCCTGGTACTACCAAGAAAAGAAAAGTCAGTGAGCTTGGAGGAGAAGCCCAGGCTCAGGGCGAGGTTTGATTTCAGCCTTGAGACCTAAGAAGATGGTCCAGCAAGCCTGAACCTGACCCACGGAACAGGAGATGATAAACAGGCTGCTTTTAGTTGCTAGTTTATSGTAACCTGTTAGAGCAGCACTAAGGACAAACATACCCCTCCATCATCACKGCTCACCTATTTCAAATAGTCATAGAAGTCCCTCGGGCTTCCTCTCCTCAGCTTACCCCATGGTCAACACCACCCTTCACCCCACCCCACCCCTCTTCTCCCCCAGGGACTCACCTGGCCCTGCGCTTGCGCACCCTGCGCTCGTGTTCAGCTTCTTCGTAGTAGTACTCATTGTGGCTGTTGTCCCGCCGCCGGGCCGCCGCTGCRATCGCAGCCCGAGACTGGCCTGTGGAGTTGTTGGTGCTGTTTTCTGCACAGGATCAGGATAGAGACGACGGTCACATCAGAGTGTGGCCTCTTTCCCCACTCCAGGAGCTCTGGAGACACAGCTCTTCCCCCCACCCAGCAACACCACCCATTCCCTCTGGAGAGGCTGGGGAAAAGCAACCAGGAAGGCACCGGAAGGGCAGAAGTCCTGCCCATGTGCCTCCTGGGCTCAGGTGAGCCAAAGGGCTGAGACCAGAGCCCATAAGCAGACACCGGGGAGGCAGATTGGGGAGACACACCGTAGCATAAAGCAGGAGCAAGTAGAATCAGCAACTAGGACCAGCCACCTGAAGTCAAGGAAAACGACAGGACAGAAGGGGCTGGGACATGGGCTGGAGAAAGGAAAAGGGAAGGAGAAAGGCGTGAGAGAGAGAGAGAGAGAGGAAGCCACGTGGAGTCCTGCTTAGAAGAGGCCGGGAGGGGCGGAGGAGCAGGGCCGCTCACCCTCTCCGAGAGAATACACCTTGAAGCCAGACACTTTCTTGGCCAGGACGGACTTGGGCAGGTTGAGGAGGGCAGGGTTGTAGACAGGGAAGTCATGGTAATACTTCTCCAGGATCCACACTGCCACGCGCTGGATGCTGTGGGGGAGAGGGCAGGGCGGGGAGGGAGAAGGGGCAGACAGGGGTACAGGGAAAGGCACACATCAGGGCAGGTTGGCAGGGCAGGAGGGGACACGACGGAGACAAGCTGCTTCCAGGAAGCCTGGCTCAAGCCTGACATCTACTTACCAGGCTCCCAACCATTCCCAGAGCTGGGTCACTCGCTCCTCCCTGCCACGCTGAAGCTTGGGGGAGAAAGGGCGCTGGGCCTGAGTTCCCAGCCAAGGGTGCCCTGGGCTTCCTCCTGCATCTTCCCAAGGGGGTTCTGATACTCTAGGGGCACAGGGAGCACCCTACCAATAAATCCGGTGGGAGATGACTTATCCTCCCACTTAACCTCCATCTCTCTTCCTCTGAGGGTCCCTTCTCTAGCCAGGGTCAGCTTCTTGTGCCTCTAGGAAAGGGATGTTCATGACCCAGGGGATGTGCCCTGGATGGATCCTCCCCTAAGATTATTCATCTCCGATTGCCTGATTGGTCCCAACTCAGTGACTGTCCCTGGCATCTTGCCTACAGCACTGCACATGACCTTCCCACTAAGCAACAAACATGTTGAAAACCTACTACGTGCAAAAGTACTCAACACCTTCCACCTAGCCCTGCCAACCCATCACTTCTGGCCTCCCCACCACCACCCCTGAAACCCTCTCCTTCCGCACCCTCCTTCCTCCGTGTGCACATCTCGCCTACTCCCAAGCACTCGTACCTGAGATGGCCAACGTTGTAGAAGCGGCTGGCCCCGTCGGTGGAGCGCACGACCTTGAGCGTGAACTGGGGCTGGAGCTGCCGCAGCTCCAGCAGGACCACGGCCAAGTAGTGCACGAAGAGCAGGGCGTCCACCAGGGACACCGCGAACTGCACCACGCCCTGGTAGCTGCGCTCCCGGGCATCCAGGATGCGCACGCCGTAGAAGAGCCAGTAGGAGACCACGAGCAGGAAGACGAGCACCATGAGCAGGGCGCGCAGCACGAAGACCCGGGGCAGCGAGGCCTTGGGCCGGCGGAAGAACAGAGCCCAGCTGCCCAGCAGCAGGATGAGCAGCTTGAAGGCCACTGAAATGAAGAGGCCCTCGCAGGCGGTCCCGCACGGCTCCAGCTCATCCCGCCACAGCAGTGGGGGTAGCAGCAGGAAAGCCAGCGGGGTGAGGAAGGAGAGCAGCGCCAGCGTGGCCCCTGCAGCCACACCCAGGTGACGGGAGCAGTCCAGTGGAACACTGTCCTCCATGTCCTTGGCGATTCGTGTGAGGTCATCGTGGGAGATGCTGTGCTCAGAGGTACCCGTGACTACCGTGGTGGTTTCTCCCCAGTTGTCGTCCTGTAGACAGGAGGGGGCAGCACGAGGTGGATTAAAGGACAGGGAGAGGAGGTGGAGAAGGGAAAAGAGGAGACGGAGCAGAGTCAGCAMCACATGGGAAAGGAGAGGCAGAAAGAAGAGAGGGAAACTGATAAGGATGCAACCGTCATCTGGGCAGGGACACCCATGATCCCAGATACTCGGGAGGCTGAGGCAGGAGGGTAGCAAGTACAAGGCCAGTCCAGGAAATTTAGTGAGACCCTGACTCAAAAAAATAAAAAGAGCTGTGGATGTAACTCAGTGGCCCCTCGGTTCAATCCCTACAAAGTATTCACTGAGCTCTCCTGTGCAGCCAAGGCTGGCTTCCGCAGACACTGAACTCTAAGAGCTGGGCTCTTGGGGAGCTGTACACCAATCAGTGGGAGAGAAAACACTACCCATGCAGCAGAGACCCTCAKAGCATGAGGCCCGGGACGAATGTCAAGGGAGCTGCGCAGGCAGAGACAAGGATTCAAGGCCAGACTCGCCAAGCAAAACAGTCAGGCTTCCAAGGAATGATGGGACCTGAAGTGATCYCTGGCAATGGGTGACATGAAAATGTTGGACTGAATTAAATAAAAGTGGGTCTGCGGTTCCCAGCCCCAGCTGTACCCATTAGAATCACCCAGGGAGCTTGGAAAAGATACCAATTAGAGCAGGGTGAAATGTGCTTGTCAACTTTTTTTTTTATAAAAAGCTCCCCAGATAATTCTAATGTTCATCGGAGATTGAGAATCTCGGAACTAACTGATCTCTAAGGGTCGGCTCTCAGAATGTGCTCTGTGGACTGGAAGTGTGGACATCACCGGGGAGCTTGTTAGAAATGCAGATCTGCAGGCCTAGCCCACATCCACTGAAGCAGAACTGGCGTTTAACAAGATCCCCGTGAATCTCTCAAACGTTAAAGTTGTAGAGGTCCCGTCTCTGAGTCCCTTCCAGTTTTGGCAGCTTTCCATACTCTCGAGCAGAAGCTGAGGGGGAGCAGGAACCTCCAGGATAGCAAGAGCTGGGGACCCAAGTATAGGAGCAGAGCACAGCCTGGCCAAGAAAGTGAGGCCCAGAGCAGCAGGAGGGGCTTGTTGAGGTCATTCCAAGCTACAAGCCCTCCTGCAGGCACGGGGAGCGACTGAAGATTTCTGATTAAGGCAGTGGCCTGACAAAAGTAGTGCAGAAGATACCAGAGAGAAGAGGGGGATGGTGAATGACCAGGGCAGAGCATGGAGGGCACGTGCAGACTTGGGGGGTCACTGTAGATCTCTGTGGAGAAGTTCTGCTGGGCCATCTGAATGCCCACAGCACATGGACTGCCTGATCCTGGAAGCCAGGGCAGACAGGCTAAGGTCCCCAGATGCCCTTCTAAGTATGCTCTGCTCAAGCTGTTTCTCTGCACTGACTGGAGCCCGTCCCATAGAGGAGTCCCATAGATCAGCAGGATCTTCAGCGCCCACAACCTTCACTCCTGAGACCGCCTGGATCCTGACACCCACGGGATTCAGAACGTAGGATTCCCCTCTGGAGGTGGGGAATGTAGCAGACCAACTGGCAGGCCAGTGGTTAAGGAGAATGAGGAATATCCTCTCCCAAGGATGGGGGAAGACTCTGATCTGGAAATAAAAAGTAGACACACTGACTGCTTTCAGCTCAAGGAWCTGGGTCGACTCCTGACCCAATGACCCCTAAACATACTGCCTTCCTTCTCGAGGACCAAGGGCTTGGGAACTCCTCTTCAATAACAGACATGACCCAGATCATGACCCAGGAAACCAAGTCCTAGGGAGAAGGCACTGGGAAAGAGGGAGAAAGTATATCTTCTTCAGATATTGATCTGCTCCCAAGACCCAGGAATTTCCAATGTCAGCCATAGATATTTCTTCTAAGGAATATGGAGCTGGAGTCTCCAGCCCTGTAAGATGCTCCCCAGAAGAAAGAACACAAGGAATGAAACTTAAGAAACTTCACCTGTCATCTCAAATCCTGCCCCTGTTGTATGCCAGGGCTGAGTTTTGCCCTCTGTGCTCCACCGTGGTTAGGACAAGGGCAAGTGCTTACCCTGTCCTGGGGAACTCTCTTCCCTGGCTCATCCACTCAGCCTCACTTCTCCCTCCCACTTTCGGACCACACCTCCACTCCCCAGGACCTAGGTGATCCTGAGCAGCAAGCCGACACCAGAGGGCGCAAGAGTACAGACACCAGAGGAGTCTGACACCTAAAGGCTCAAGGAAAAGCCAAGGTAGCACCCCCTGTTCAGGGCCACCCTCCACCAACACTCTCCTAATCTAGACTCCAACCAGCTTAAGTGGCTGGCATCAGTTCAAAAGGAGCCCAAGGGGCAGTCCCCATCACCCAGCCAGGTCATTCCTGTCTCTCAAGATCCAAAAGAGGCCGCTGCCTCCAAAGGATTTCCACTCCAGTTTCCTGAATTCTACTGCAACCGTCCTACCTTGGGACACTAAGCCACGGAAGTATAACAAGATAGCCTTCCTGACTCGGCCTCTGTCTGAAGACACCGGGTTTCTGGTGGAGCCTGCTAGAACCTCTTGTTTCTCCAAGGGGCAACCTGAAAACATTCAGACTGGACCGCTTCATCTCCCTGATGCTCACCCGTTCATCCCCCCGCGTGGACTCATTGTCCAGCAAGGGCTCTCCWGGAGCCTGGATGGTGACCGACTTGTCCCCACGGCTCCCATCTCGGCTCTTCGAGCGGTGTCGGTCCCGGCGGTCCCTACAGCAGGAAGCCAGAGTTACAGGCACAGAAAGTCAAGGGGGTCAGCTTCTTACCAGCAAGCCCCCACACTGGCACGTGCCCACCTCTCAATGGCCCCAGCCCTCCCTCCACCACCGTGTCACTCCCGTGCGCATACCCACCTGTGCTTGCGGGAGCTGCGGGAGTGGCCCGACTTGTAGGAGTAGCCCGAGTACTGGGACTCGGTGTCCATGGCGTCGGAACGCCGCGCCTTGTAGCGCTCCAGGGCCGCAGGCTGGGGCCTTTTGGGGGGCCCCACAGCCACCTCCTTCAGCACCGGCTTCTTCAGGCCAAGAGGCACCTTTAGGAAGTCAACCGTCACCCTGAGGGACTCTATTTTGCTGGAAGGGTGGGCTTTTCTCAGAGAAAATCAAGCGGCGCTCCTGAAGAGGGGAACAGCGGGTTAGTGGGTCAGGACAGAGAGCAAGACCATCCCCAAAGGGCAGCCACAGGAAGCTCGGATAAGCCTAGCAATGGCCCAGAATACTTCCCCCCACGTTCCAGCTCCATCCAACAAGCTCAGTTCCTCCTGCCCTGCCTGCCAGGAAGAGCCCCCCACCCCCAACTGTGCCAGGCTCAGGGATGGGGGAAAATGCCAGCAGCAAGGGAGCCGGATGCAGTGGCACTCGTCTGCAATCCCAGTGACTCAGGAGGCTGACACAGGAGGATTGCAAAGTCAAGGCCGGCCTGTGGAACTTAGCAAGAACCTCGGCAATTTAGCAAGACCCTGTCTCAAAAATAAAAGGCTGGGGATGTGGCTCAGTGGGAGAAAAACCCCTGAGTTTAATCCCCAGAACCGAAACAAGAAAACAGAAACAAAAGAAAGGAAAAAGGAACTGGCGTCTATAGAGAGGCTACCTGGGGCCTCTCCCTCCTCCTTGCCCTACTCACAATTTCTGAGTGTGTCCACAAGGGACTGTCTACGGCTGCTTCTCTTAGTAGCAGCAGCACCTACTTCAAAGGTACGGTTACTCTCCAGCATAGGCTGAGCGCTCTCCTTGAGGCTGTGTGTGTGTGTGTGTGTGTGTGTGTGTGTGTGTGTGTTGGGGGGGAGTTATCACCAGGTACCATGAGGGGTGGGAGTCAAAGACACGTAGAGGGGCTGGGGGTATAGCTCAATGGTACAACAGCTGCCCAGCGTGTGTTAGGCCCTAGGTTTAAGTCTCCAAACCAAAAAAAGAAAAAGAAAAAACAAGTAGAAACCATTTTCCAAAAGCCCAAAGTCCTGGAATAGGCAAGACGTAAGTTTATCTGTCCATTTACGGGCTGAGGGGTAGACTCTCCACCTGCACTGCACCTTCTAACTCTGCAGGAAGGGGTTACCATTCCTCCRTTCTTCCCCAAGTCCTACTCATCATCCTCAACGCACTCGCCAGAGCCCCAGCTACCCCAGCCCCCAATGGCGTCTTTCCTAACTGACCCTAGTTAACAGTCAACCTCCTCCCCGAGCACTTATTTCCTTTCTTCATCCACTGATTCACCAAACCTGTTTTAAGCACCTTCTGTATGCTATATATGAACTATATACTTTGCTAGGCCCGGGGTATACAGTGGTCCAACAGAGCCTGAGCTCACGGTCTAGGGATAAGAAGTGCCCCACCCAAGTAAGCAGGTCCACGTAAGCCACCATATCAGCATATTGGGAGGAAAAGAAGAGAGACAACTACGTGGAGCTACTTTAAACCGAGAGGACCCGTCATCCCAGGCTCTCTGGAGGCGACGGCGGAAGGATCACAAGGTTGAGGCCAGCCTAGGCAACTCAGACCTGTCTCAATTAAAATTTTTTAAAGGGTTGGGATGTAGTTCAGGGGTAGAGCTCTTGCCCGAGGAGTAAAAGGAGGAAGGGAAAGAGCACAGGGCAGAGGAATCCCGGGTAGGAAGGCTGAAGTCAGGGAAGAGCTATGTGCATTTAAAGAACAAAAGAGGCCAATGGAGCCAGAGCGGACCTCAGGAGAGGGTTATGGAGGCCGGACAGCCAAGTGGAGAGCCCAGGTTTACTCTAAGGCAACAGGAAGCTCTGCAGACAGGGACTGGAAAGAGGGAAAAGTAGAAATAGGGATCAGTAAGGAGGTACCGTGGGAGTGAAGACTGGGTCACGGGTAAAGCACCAAAGAGGGACAAATGTCACGTCTGAGACACAGGTTGGTGATGGAATCCACAGGACCTGAGGAATGTCAGAGAGGGAGAATCAAGAACCCCTGGCCGGAGCACAGGAGAAGACGATCATGCCACAAATCTTGGAGGAAAGAGTAAAAAGCAAGCCAGTCTGGGGAGGAGGGAGGTCAGCTGTTCCCCACATGCAAAGCTCATGGCTGCAAGGCAGCTGAGCAGAAGAGAAGCTGGACTCTGAGGACAGTCTGAGCTAGAGGCACAGACCACGCGCAGAGCCACCAGAAGGAAGAGAGTCCCTCACAGAGAGGACCGCGTGAGAGAACTCCAAACTGCACATGTGTCCAGAAGAAAAGGGGCTGAGAAGACCAGACCAGAGGAGCTGGAAGAGTGGGGTCTCAAGGAAGCCAAGAACCCAAGACGGTTTCAAGGGGGGAACAAAGTCAACCAGGTCAAATGCGGCTGAGAAACCAATTAAGAGCTAAAGCGGATTTACTCTGTATAGCTAGCTTTTCTCCAGCTACTCTAGGCCATCAGCAACCTGAAAATGAGAAAGTAATTGATACCATGCAGTAAAGGAATATGCCTGCCCACTGTCAGGGAAACTGTGACTACAGGGAGATAAAGTCAGTGTGAAATCCAGTCATTCATCCTCCTCCCAGAGTTATGTGGAGGTAATCCGTAGGCTAGTGATGCTTGACAATATTCCCATGTCAAAGCCAGTGCGTGACAGGGACATATTTAGGAGACAAAGACATAATACCTCAAGCAAACTCTGAACCTCTCTAAAACCCTTTTTGCCACAGATAGGGCCCACGTTTATCCCGCTGTCTACAAATTACATGTTGGGCTCTTCTCTCCTGAGAACCCATTCTACCGGTTTAGACGTCTCACCTGCACCACTTTTGATGTGGTTCAGCCCATTCTTTTTAGTCCTCTTAAAAACTGAACTTTGYCAGGAGGCTCAAAGACGATAAGTGGATTGAGGATGGCAAAGTAGAGAGGAAAAGGATTAATAGTTCAGACAGACACTAGACCCCACACCCTCCATCTATTCACCCTCACTCTGAATACCCTTGTCTGCCAGAGCTCACAGGAAAAAGAACTTGGGTTTTGCAAAGATTTGGGTTCAAAACCTAACTCTCCCACTGACTAGTTGTGTGATTATGAGCAAGTTACTTAACTTCTCTGTGCTTGGTAGCCTCAGTGGTAAAACAGAGAAGGTAATGGATGACACCTACTTCAGGGCCAGGGGCTGGGGGTGTGGCTCAGTGGTAGAGTGCTCACCTAGCATGCACGAGGCACTGAGATCGATCCTCAGCACCACATAAATGTAAAATAAAGATATTGTGTCCACTTAAAACTAAAAAATAAATATTAAAAAAAAATAAAAAGACTCACAGGGACAAAATAAGTAGTTTCATAAACTGTGTAGCTAGCAGTCAGTTAAGCAATTTAAAAGCTCTAACTCTGGCCCGGCAGTAGTGCAAGCTAGTAAGACCAATGACTAAGGCAAGAGGATCGAAAGTTCAAGGCCAGCCTGGGCAACTTAGCAAGACACTGTCTCAAAATATAAAATAAAGAGGAGTAGGGATGTAGTTCAATGGTAAAGCAACACTGGGTTCAGTTCCCGGTACCCAAAAAAAAAAACCCACTCAAGCTCCAGGATCACTTCAACTCCAATCCCCAGACACTTTCTCTGAAACCAGGGAAAGGAGTGGTATAAGTAAATCTTGCTATTTGTACGACCAAATAAAGAAATCACACACATGCACACACCCCAACCAGAACGGCCACTTCAAACACACCCGGAGGTAAGTTGATGCCACCGTGTTTCCCCTGCAGATAAACTTCAAGCCAGACAAGGGTGCCAGTGCCCTCCCAGCTCTTTGTTCTGAGTCGCTCAGCCTGCAGCTCTCTACCTTCCTCCCCAGCTACTTATTCAAGACCCAACACAGATCCTGCATCCTTACTTAGCTGCCAACCCAACCAAAAAACCGAACCCAACTTCTGAGACCCTGGCCTGCTGGCCTTTCGGGCATTCTGGAGAACTAACCCACTCGAGCATCGAGCATCGGAGAGGCTGGGGGAAGGATGGGAGGTGAGCAAAGGGAAGGGCAGAGGTTCCCTTTATTTAATCCGTCTCTGGAATCAGAGGTTTGGAGGGTCTCCCGGGTGGGCAATGTTCCCAGGGAAGAGAGTGGGGGAGGGGACCGCTGGATGAGATCAACAAGTGGAAATGTCAGAGGGACTAGAGAGAGAGCGCGGGAGGAGAGAGCGGGAGAGAAGTCCCGACTTGGCGCGGGGTGGGAGGCTGTAAAAAGAAATCCCTCCCCTTGCTTCTCACCTCACCCCCCACTCCCAAGACACAAAATGCGCACTCAGGCCCCGCTCAAGCCAGCCATGGATTATCTGGGGTTAAAAAGAGGCCAGAGAGGAGAGAGCGAAGAGAGCCCAGCACACAAAAAGGAGACCCTTCTCCCTCCAAAGGCCTTTCAGAAATGAAATTAATGGAATGTGTCTCAGTATCATCCCAAGGGAATGGGGGGGGCGCTGGGGGGAATGTGGGGGCTTTTGTCCCGGCTGCCCAGCTTCTCCCACATTGATCACCATGGCAACCAAAGCCCCCTGTTGCCTAGGTGATGGCAGCTGGGTCCTGGAACCCATACCCAGCATCCAAAGCGAGGGAGGTGATGAAGGTGGGGGAACAGGGACAGAGGGGGAGAGAATGGGGCTTCTCCTCAGGCAGCCCCAGCTTTTGTCTCAACTCTGGGTCAGGTTTCTCTGGGAAACAATTGGAGGCCTCTGGATAAAATGCGCTCAAAACCTGGCAAGAGGCAGAGGGAGCAAGGCCCTGGGGGGGGAGGTTGGGGGGGGGGGGGGGGGGAGGGGAGCAGCCAAAACACACATGAGGATGTCTGACCCTTCTCTGTCCCCTCATTCACAGGGGCAGCTCAGGTGGACAAGGCACTGAATGAACACACAGCACCTGAGCACGGCGTGTGCAGAGGACGGAGGACCAGGTCGAGGATGGATGACCAGGTCCCAGTGGCTGTGGTCACCCTCTTTTGCCACTGCTCTAGTCCTGGCACACCCACAGCCTAGTCCCAGCTACCAGGGGGGAAAAGGAGGCAGAATACGGTGCAGACGGGCTAGGAGAAAGCACTATGGAACCAGGGTGACCTGGCCAAGAGGACAGGGTAGGGAAGGGTCAGAACACAAATTGCACYTAAAAAACCACTGGCTGCTCTCCCTCCCTCCCTCCCCGCATCAA